GAGGTCAGAGCCTGCACCCAGATGCTGTCCTATGCAGACCTGAACCTACAACTGATAAACTATGGATAATCATTTAATTTTATTTTTTAATTTAAGTTTAATCAGTGTAGCTTTTCTAGCCTTTAGGGTACGGCTTTAGCGGCCCGGGAGACTCACAGACCAATCGCATGCGTTGTAAATATCACACGTGACGCTACTCAGCCAATCAGATCTGTGCATTCTGTTGAGCACTGAGACTAGAGTGAGTGACGCACACACAAGGGAGGGACGAGGCGAGAAACAGCAGTCAGAGAAGAAAGTGAGTCAGAGGGAAGTTATTTCACATGTCGTGATCTAAAAAGAGAAAAATGACAATAAATGTTGTTGAAATGTTACTGAATTGTACTTTATTTGATTTGATATTCAGTTGTTGACTGTATAAGATGTTGATATAACTACTAGGCTACTTCAGTAAACAGTATATGGCACTCAGTCATGATGTAAGTAAGACATTATGATGTTCTGGACCTTTGCTCGAGGACATTTTCTCTAACTGGACCTTATTGAATTTTAATTAAAGACCCCTGGTCTAAAACCTGAAGCTGAAATGAGGCTTCTACAACAAGACAATGATCCTAAACATACCTCAAAATCAACCATTAACTACTTCAAGAAACTCAAGCAGAAGCTTTTGGAACGGCCCTCGCAATCCCCTGCCTTGAAGATCATTGGAAATCTGGGGTAGATCTTAAAACTGATGGCCCAACAAAGTCGCGGAACTAGACGTGTTCTGTAAAGAAGGGTGAAAATTCCTAAAACAAGAAAAGCAAGATTTTACAACCTGCACAGTTTATCAGCCCCCCATTCATCATTGATCAGATATTATTTGAGTGGTGTCAAATAGGCAGGCAGTTAGCATGACGCTAATAGCAAAAATCATGTAGCATTGCTAATAACACTATTAGAAAAGGGCTCTTTAGTAAAGACAATGTTTTTGTATAGAACCATAAACACTCAAAGAACTGTTTACATGATTAAAGAGTTCTTTGCATCGTGAAAGGGTTCTATATGTAGCACCAAAGAACCCTTTTGGTCTTATACAGAACCCTTTTCAAAAAGGTTCTACATAAAACCATCTACAGCACATTCTCCGTCAATCTGAAGAAACTTTCATGATGTAAACAACCCTTTAATCATGCAAACGGTTCTTCGAGTGTTCATGGTTCTACATAGAACCATTTTCTTTACCAAAGAACCCTTGAGTAACCATCCTTTTTACGAGCACAGTCGTACCAGCTATCATGAAACGTGTACTCAATTTAGCTGTTTCTGTGATGCTAATTGGTGGGTAGAAGCTTCTATGTTAGCCACATTAGCCTCTAAGCTCCAGTACAAAGCTAAAGAAGCCTCAGACACCAGACATGGCTACGTTTGTGCCACATTTGGGACATTTGGTCTTTGACCAAGCGATCACTTTAATGCAATGGCACATATAAAGCATTATCATCCTCTCCCTGTGGTGGAACAGCAGCCCTCAGACAGCTGTGGAGATGAACCCAGTTTAATAAATGACTCTGAAACCTCTCCAAAGAGTTTCAGCAAATCCCAAAAGCAAACAGAGCCTCTGCTCGGTCGTGGTTAATGAGTGATTCGAAAGAAGGCCAAAAGCTGGGAGGGGGGGCAGTGTTTTTTGGAGAGGTGCAACTATATTTTAGCAAAAACTGGTGCAACAGGTCAATTCTTCCCTCCTGCTTTTCTTTACTAAGGGGCGGAACTCACTGAGTGTGTTTACATGAACTCAATAATCCGATCATAATCGGATTTCTGCAGTTATCTGATTTTTCAAGTAGTCGTGTAAACAGCACACTCTGATTTCTTAGATTGGAGTAAGGTCTAGAAATCCGAGTATGAAATCTGATAAAGAGGACGGATTTTAGCTCAGTAATCAGATTTCTCAGTGCATGTACAGCACACTCTGATTTCTTAGATTGGAGTAAGGTCTAGAAATCCGATTATGAAATCTGATAAAGAGGATGGATTTTAGCTCAGTAATCAGATTTCTCAGTGCATGTACAGCACAGTCTGATTTCTTAGATTGGAGTAAGGTCTAGAAATCTGATTATGAAATCTGATAAAGAGGACGGATTTTAGCTCAGTAATCAGATTTCTCAGTGCATGTACAGCACACTCTGATTTCTTAGATTGGAGTAAGGTCTAGAAATCTAATAAGATTTCTCAGTGCTGTAAACTCTTACTCTGATTTCTTTCAGATTTCTCAGTCTGAACATGTGCGAAAACAGAAGGCGGTACCAGAAATAAGTGAGCAGTGTCGCTGTGAGACGCAGCAACCAAATACATGCTTAAATGTTCCTCATCTTCTAGATGATATATGTTTCTATGTGGGTCATTCTATAGAATCCATTTCTGTGTCCCTAGCGTTTACAGATATTACACCTGAAAAACGTGTTAGTGTTACAATTTATGAATATTTTAAAATAAAAGAATAAGTTATTTTAACAATTACACCTTCTTGAGCCTCAATTTAGCAGTATTGGTTTTTAAATCAATTATCTAGAATTCCAAGCACCACAGAAGTGTTTGTCCCCACAGTCATGTGAAAAGGCTGAGGCCATATTTTGAGGGTAAAAACATGTTTTTAACTACAATAATCTATACATGACTATGGAATATATTAATTAAATGAAGTAAAGAAAACAAATGCCAAATAAATGTTATAAAATATATAATAATCGTTGTTGTCCCCAGGAGTCGTGTCACTGGTGTAACAAAAAATCTCTTATTTTGAAATAAAAGTCACACAGATGACATCACTTGACTTCCTTTCACCTGTTTTCTGAGGGTCTATGAAGAAAAGCACATGGTGAGTCCACTGTGTCTTTCAGTTATCAGAGATTTTCTCATTTAGCTCATGATTTCATATGAAGCTTTTAGCTGAAGTCACTGGTGTGACCGACTTTATTCTGAGGTCATTGTGAAAAAAGCTCGACTGACCCACATGTAGATTCCAGGAGCTCGACTTTTCCCTCACGTTGCTGAGAAGGTCAAAGATGTGAGAATCCTCGTTTCATCAAGAGCGCCACCATCGGGCTTCACGATGGCGTTTACAACATCTTTGGTGACTCATTGCAAATGACTGAATGATACGAGGATCCTGCAAGGAAAAGTGAGCTAGAACCCACAATCAGAACTTAACAAAGCTTAGGAACGATGATTTTCTGTGTTACTGTGGTCACAATCTTCATAATGTTCATGTTCACTCGAGTGATTTTCCTTCATCGTGAACTACAAGCAAAACACCGTCAGCACTTAGTCGTCACTAGTGTTGTTTTACAGGGTTCATCTGCTGTGATTTCACCTCAACCATAATAACATTCATATAGAAATTCAGTGTTTTGTTAGTTCCGTCCTGCATCACTTGTAGTTGCCTAAAGGATGAAAAATGCAGAAAAGCCGTTTTATTGCTAATGTAACAGACAGTAACTGTATATTTACTGGATATATGATTATTAATCTTCCCATCTTTCCTGTGTTCTTGATTCTACATGTTTAGTCCTTTATCTGTTTCTGTCACTGTTTATTTGACTGTGAGGGGGCGTGTCTGCCTGTAGGCCACATCTGATACATCACTGGCTAAAGGTTTCTGCATTAAACATCACCGTGTTTATGAGCGACTGGCGCGTTTGTGATTCTATGACTGTATATTGAGCAGATTTTGGTGCAGATTTATTGTTATTGATGTTCTGTGTCACAAAAACTCTTCTGGAGTTAAAAGTGTCGTGATTTACTAAACAGACGCAGCATCTCTTTAGAATAAGATCAAAGAGGAGGAGCTGCTGTTTTCTGCCTCTGACTCAATACATCTGCAAGACAGACAGATAGACAAACAGATAGACAGACAGACAGACAGATAGACAGACAGACATATAGACAGACCGATATATAGTAGATAGATAGATAGATAGAGATAGATAGACATACAGACAGTAAGACAGATAGATAAATATATATAGTTAAAAAGAAAGACAAAGACAAACAAATAGAGAAATAAATAGATAGATGTATAGACAGAGAGATCGACATATAGGCAGATAGACAGATAAATAAACAAAGAGACAGAAAGATAGATTGATAGACATATAGATAGACAGATAAATACATATATAGATAGATAAATAGACAGACAGACAATCGCATATGACTCTGTTTTTGACAGACAGTTTTGATGTAAACAGAAGGTAAAAACCTTTTCTCCTCATGTCAATCATGATTATGAAGGTTTAATTAAGATTTCAGGAAGCAAATTTATTTATTACACGTTTATTTTAAAAGGGCAGTTCAAAGTGCTTTACAAAGTGATGAATAAAAACAAAACAAAAACTGTACAATAAAATAAGGGGGAAACAAAAAACTAAAATGAACTGAAAAGAAGCGCAAAGTCTAAACGGAAAGTATGAAAGATGCAGAAGATAAAAAGAAGAGTCTGACTTTAAAGGTTTAAAGACGAATTAGGGGCAAATCTGAGATCTTCTGGCAGCCAATTCCAGCTTCAAGCAGCAGGCGAGCTGGTTTAGAGCCACAGAAGGACTTTTATATTTCATTGGTTTGGCCAAAACTGTTTCTGCTACATGTTGAATACAGTCTATGTAAAGAAACAGAGTTTTAGGATTAAACAGGTGAAGGCTGACATCCTGCATTGATTGGGGAATTTAAAATTAAAACAAAATTTCAGGCTGGATTAAAGCTTTAATTTGGATCCGTTGGTACACCCAGGTTTCTGACTTAGTCTTTAGATACTGGAGCTCTGAAGTGTGCACTGACCTTCAGTCTTTCCTCCTCGTTGCCAAGTAATACAACTTCTGTGTTGATTTATCTGGAGGAAATGTTGACAGATCCTTTAATTCATTTTAAGATCTGTTTCTACAGCACATTTTACAACGAGCGTCACAAAGCAGGTTCAGAGAAAATCCAGGTCCGAGCCCCAAATGAGCAAGCAGAGGGCGACGGTGGCAAGGAAAAACTCCCTAAGAGCAAGAGGGAGAAACCTTGAGAGGAACCAAGACTCAAAAGGGGAACCCATCCTCCTCTGGTCGACTGGATTTGCTCTGAGCACCGACACAAAGTATCTATGGGACCACAGTCTTTTGGTGAGAGAGTGAAGTAAACCTGGGTGTCGTCAGGAGAACCGTGATAGGTGATTTTGTGTTCTGGCAGGATTCAGCCTGACGGGAGCACGAAGAGAGACTATGAAGAGGTTAATGGAAATGAATAAGTTTAAAGGGGCCCAAGGCAGCTGATTTTCCTAAACCAGCAGAACATCCTGGAACAAATGGACGCTCTCCTAGGCTTCTCCTTTTTTGAAGGAACACTGTTGGATCCACCTGCAGAAAGAAGATTTCACATTCAGTGTTTGCATATCAAATAATGGAAATGGCTATTTTACTAAATATGTAGTGCCTGTTTTAAAGTTATATTGCCATTTATCTCAAACTTCACTAAATCTAAACTACACATGAATTTAATTAACCATGTTAACTTACTCATATCAGCAGTGCGGCGACTCTGCAAATGGTCCTGATCTGAAGATTGACCAGCGTTATCGTCCTTTCTGGATTTCTGTGATGTGAGAAATTGATCATATCATCAAACTTGTAATCATTTAAGTCTCACCACAATTCAAAGTGTTCATATTAATATTGCATATAACAGCATGTTAATAATATGATGTACATAATGTTACTGGGACAAAATAGCACAACATTAAAACTAATTCTTACCTTTTTGAAGATGCTGAGCTTTGGCATCTTGATATGGAAGATGTTCTTGAGCTTCTTCAAGTTTATGTTCTTCGGCCTCTTTGTTTCGGGCCCTGCAGTTGAAGCATCTGCATCTAGATGCTTCCGTAAGGCAGTCATCAGGGCCTCGTCAAATGCAGAGTCTCGAAGGTCCAAAGCTTTGTGCAGAGAACCTTCCTTACCAAACCTTTGAAGGAGCTCAAGAAACGTACCCGTTAGAATTTCCTCCAGCTTTGCAGCACTAGAGGATGCAGAGAACTCGCTGAGAATTCTCTCAATCAGCTCTTTCGGATCGTTCGAGCTCGCTTCTTTTCTCAGGTCTGATGAAGTTGCTGCTGACTGCGCCAGAGTCCGAAGAACAAGCCAAGTTGCCAGGATGGCATGATCGTTTGTTTGCGACGTAAGCGAGCCTCTGCTTGAGACTTGGCTTGATACGAAAACGTCATCAGTGGTCTGGCTGGAGACCAAAGGTTCCTCTTTGATAGTGGGAGAGGAACCAGACTCAACCGATGCAGGACGGTACAAGTCTTTAGGGTCTGCACTCTTAATTGCCCTGACGATGGAAACAGCCAGAGATCCTGCCAACAGCTCACTCTGGGCTTTTACTGCTTCAATGAGCTGATTTTCAGATCTCATTCTCTGAAGAAGCTCTTCATACACAGCATCAATGATGGAGCGGTGAAGTTTTTTGAGAGCATGCTCTCCATCTTCCACTGTGACAGCAGTGAAAAGAGCTAAAATTCCTTTGACCATGTCGGTAACATTCTGGACCTGGTCCTCATCAATTAAGAGAGGAGATCCATGGACCCCAGTGGATGAAATCTCCTGTACTTTTTGTAATATTGCACGTACGCAACAACGGAGAGCATCCACGGAAATGGTTGGAGGAGATGTATTGAGTTCTTCAGAGCTGTGTGAATCACTTCCAGATGTCTCTTCAACATTTGAATCCACAGCATCCAACTCATGATCAGACAATGCTGACACTTTGTCCATCACACTGTTCACGATTACTTCAGAGAACAGATCCATTTTGTCAGCAAACATCTCAGATGGGGGTCTTGAGATCTCAGGAGTGACTCTGAAGGGCATCACCAGACTTGGAATGTCGTTAGCAGTGGTAGAAGCTGGTCGAGGGGCAATGCATGACCTGAGCAAACATTTCACCGCCTTGTCTGCAAATTCAACAAAAAACTCAGAAGCAAAGGGTCGTTGAAGGTAAGGGTAGTGCTGTAGAACAGATGCTGACATGTTCAGAGAACTTAATCTGTCTGTCAGTATGAGCCGGACCATGTTGGCGAACTTCTGAGGGGCTGTGGTCAAAAACAGATCCTCAACTCTTTCTGCTGCTGCAGATAACTCCTCAAGAGAGTTAAAAGGACCTGAGCTCAGTAAACCCAGGGAGGCCATCATGGTGTCCAGTAAAGAGGCCATTGAAACCCTCTCTCTGCTCTTGGGTGGCTCGTGTTCATCCATCACTGATGGTCTTTCAAGGTGTGATATCTTACCAACACTTCCCCCAACACTGATCTCTAAAGGATCGACCTTAGGTGGTTTCTGCTGATACATTGCAGAAAAATCCCTGAGGTGTCTCATGGCACTGTTGTAAGTACTACATGCAGTGTACCACAGAATCTCCTCAGGGACATCAACACCTGATTCCATCCAACCCAAAGCTTCAGACCGTGTTTCTTTCAAACCATCTGGTGTAGAATCCAGATGTTCGCAAATTCCATCAATGACGGAGTCGACGAGGTCGAATGCCTTAACCAAGCATTCCGAAGGAGTTGGTTCCACACTGCAATGTCTTTGGCTTGTGTGAGCACGCCGGGAACGTGGAGAACTCACAAGGAAGCTTGAAGACTCGAGTAAGATTTTACTCACTTCCTGAGCTGCCTTGGTCCGAGTATCCTGACTCTGGATTTTTTGGAAGCTTTTAGCTGAGAAGCTTCGACGGAAAGAAGGTACCTGACAATCCAGAGTAGTGGCAGGTATGCGGTCTCCGAAGGATGAACCTGAGACCTCTTGGATGTATGCCATTAAATGGTCTACAAGCAACTCTGATATGAGTGATGTATCAGAGGTACATTGTCCAAGTACTGACTGAGCATCCTCAGATACCTCGGACTTTGTAAATGAGTCCAGTTGGACTAACAGCTCATCCACAATGATTCTGGCATACCAGAACGCGTTCTTCAGAGTTTGTCCAGGAACGGAAGTCTCCATCTTGCAAGCCATATTGGTCAGTTTCATAAGGCTGGGGATTCTATGACAGGACTTAGCTCTTTTGAGGGATTTATCAGCCATGCTGTCACTTCCACCACAGCCTGGATCAGAGCTGATATCATCACTGATCGATGAACTCCGAGAGGACGTTAGCATGTCAACCAGCTCTGATAGCAAATATTCAGCAAGATCTGTCGCACACATCTTTGGAGGGCAAGACAAATCCGATGCACTCTTGAATTCTTTGGCCCGATAGATGGTGCAAACCTCAAGAATCACATCTTTAGCACATTCCTGAAGTTGTGCCTGGTCTTTGGATGTCATGTTCTCAGCACTGGGCTCAACAGACAGTGACAAATTACAGAGCTCAACTGACCCACATGGAGACGCCAGGAGCTCAGTCTTTTCCGTCACATTTCTACGAAGCTCACACATGTGAGAATCATCAAGAGCGTCAATGATGGTCTTCACGATGGCATTCAGAACTTCTTTGATGACTGACTCCAAAGAATGGTTTGAAGACCCTGGTCTCGTGAGGAAAAGCGACCTGGCATCCACATTAAGAACTTCATAAATTGTTGGAATGATGACTTTCTCTGACAATGTGGTCACGATCTTCTCAATGTCCGTGTTCATTGTCGTGATTTCGTCCCTCGTAAACTTTAAGCAAAAGAACATATTGACAGTATTAGTCATCACTAGCATTGTCTTACAGGGTTCATCTGCTGTGATTTCACAATAATGATATTAAAATAAAAATATAAATTAATTGTATTTGAATTATAAAAGCTCACCATTTGATGCATTCTACCAAGCATCACCTGTAGTTGCCTGAAAGATAAAAGATAATGCAGAACAGCCATTTAGTGCTGATGTAACAGAGACAGTGACTTTTGCACTAAAATGATCATAAATGTCAACAAATTCATCATTATTGAGTCTTGTCTATTTAACCACCCTAGAGGGAAATGTCATGTCTGTTAGCTTGTTTCATCACATTTTATTGGTTACCAGCGGCTAAAGAACCAGGAGTAACCAATCAGGATTCAGATCTGTTACCATAACATTAATAATTCATTTGAAAGCTAACAACACAGCTGTAATGGAAGATAAGCCATAATAAATGCCATATATGTGTTTTAGTCCTTATGCATAGTAATGTCATTCATATGTATATTTCATATCTGTGTACTTGTAAATACATTTGTACATTGTGCTGGATATTTGTATGTTTGTATTTGACAGTGTACATTTGAGTAATTCCTGGCTGCACCACTCAGTGTTGAGTACATACCGATCAGTCAGGCTCTGTAGGAAACGGGAGACGTCCTGAGACTTAGCAGAGTCGCCAGGCTCTGAGTGAGAACCTGCTGCGTTACGAAGAGCATTCTCTGCCATGTTAGACTCTCCTGAGATATTAAAACACAGAAAAAAAACAAGAAATCAGGGAATTTAAATACTTACTCAATTACAACAGCCATCTAAAACATTCATTTAGACCCTCACAGTTCTTGTACTCACAGTACTAGTAGCCTAGTAATAATAACATCAATAATAATTACAACAACACTAATAACTGATAACTGATTATAAAATACACAAAATAATAACCAGCAGGAGAGAGAGAGAGAGAATATATATATTCTGGTTCTTTATCTCTGTTTCGGTTCTTTATCTCTGTTTCGGTTCTTTTTCTCTATAGTGGTTCTTTATCTCTGTTTCGGTTCTTTTTCTCTATAGTGGTTCTTTTTTCTATTCTGGTTCTTTTTCTCTATAGTGGTTCTTTTTCTATATATCTCTGTTTCGGTTCTTTTTCTCTATAGTGGTTCCTTTTCTATATATCTCTGTTTCGGTTCTTTTTCTCTATAGTGGTTCTTTATCTCTGTTTCGGTTCTTTTTCTCTATAGTGGTTCTTTATCTCTGTTTCGGTTCTCTATCTATACTCCGGTTCTTTTTCTCTTTTTCATAGTTTAATGTCCTGATTTGGTTCTTCAGGTGTAAATGAGTTTAAACTGTACTCACGTTTTATCTGGTTCTGTCCGGGAGAAGATCCGCGCTGTTCTGTCTCAGAATAATTCGGGGTCCGGATAAATGACGTCGCACATCCGAACACTATGAGGTCATCAATCCGACTGAACGCGAGGCTGAAAACTTCCGCTATTTATAGGCAAGCTCCGCCCCTCTGTGACGTCATAGACGCTGCTCGGTTACCATGGAAACCAGACTATACATACATATATGTATGTATATATATATATATATATATATGTGTGTGTGTGTGTGTGTGTGTGTGTGTCTGTGTGTGTGTGTGTGTGTGTGTGTATGAATAAACCCCATTAAATAAAACTCTTAGCTTTTGTTGATCATTTCTAAGCCGTTCGGCGATGTTTATCGGTGCTGGTTGGAGTTTATTGCTGTTCACTGCTGAGAGTTTCAGCGGGACGAACGAGCGCGTTCTCTTTTTAGCTCCGTCTCAAATCGCTCCCTACACCCTATCTAGTGCACTGCGTAGCTCACATAATAATAGCTTCAACATCCAAACAGGGCGCTGTATGTAAAACACAGAGCCATTTGGGATTCAGCCACAGGCTGCACGACTTCTTATTGGACATATAATTCACTCTTTCGGTGTAGATGCCATCGTCTGACATGCACTACAGAGGGAGCTTGAAGCCATTTGAGACACAGCCTGCATTTCTACAGCGTATATCGTGTTAGGCGGCTGTTTCAGGCAGCAGAGCTCACTACTGGCATAATGACGCTACATGTATTTGTACTGTTAAACGCTGCTCTCACTGTGAGATGCTTTTATTTTCTAACTGATTAAATCTGAGATTTAATCTCAAACACTGCAGATACGATCTCCACCGCCCCCTTACATATTTACTACTTCTCGTTCCACCTTAAATGGTGCGGCAGTTACTCTCAGGTGCCTGAGGCGAGTCTGAAGGGCCAGAATGTAACTGCTGCACTATTTAAGGTGGAACGGGAAAATTCGAGTCACCTTAGCTAAGAAGCTGGTTTCAGCCTCGTTTACTCAGTTTAGTCAGTCAGGAGAGCTAACGTTAGCTGAGCTAGTGAGCCAGGCGTAGTTCCCCACTGAGGCCGGTCAGCACTGACGGTCAGAGCTGTGTTTGTATTTCAGCTCGTTTGAAGAGTGTTAATGCTAATGCTAAGCTAGGTTAGCTGTTAGCTGTTAGCCCAACAAACCTTCATTCTGTAAGTAGCTTTGATGCCAACTTAGCTACCTAACTGAGCCTAAGTTAGCATGTTAGCGTCAACTGTTAGCGTCTGTTTTAGGATCGACTGGATAACATTAACACATTAACGTTACTTTGGTTCTTAATATTTTGGTTCTATTATTGTTCTCATAGATTGATTAGCTGTGGTTTTGAACCATGTAGCTACTTGTTAATCCATTCAAACCCAAATTTTGTATGAAAAGGAATTTAGTTTATTAAATTCCACACTGTAATAATAATAAAGCCACAGAACCTTTTCTGACTGTTTGTGTAGTTTGTTTAACTGCCTTGAATGAATATCTGTTTAAATTTCATTTTCACTTTTATTCACAATATTTTCGATGTTGCTTTGTTAAAAATCGATACTCACGTTTGACCAAATGACCAGATTTCTAAGATCAATTAAGTGATAAAACGTATTTATCTGTATGGTTTGATCGGTTTGATACATTTTTTCACGTTTGTGCTCAAACTGAAATTTAAAAATGATTAAATTCATTTTCACACTTAAAAGATGGTTCTTCAAGGGTTTTTAAATAAAAAGGTTCTTCTATTGTTACAACACTCTTACAAATGATGGTTCTTCAAGAGTTCTTTAGTAAAGAAAATGGTGCTACATGGAACCATGAACACTCAAAGAACCCTTGTATAGTTGGTGCATTCTTTGCATCAATAAAGCGTTCTTCAGATTGATGGACAGTGTGCTGTAGATGGTTCTGTATAGAACCTTTTTGAAAAGGGTTTTATATAGCACCAAAAAGGGATCTTCTATCATTACAGGCTTGACATCGTAACAACAAAAGAACCCTTTTTGGTGCTAGATAAAACCCTTTTCAAAAAGGTTATATATAGAACCATCTACAGCACACTGTCCATCAGTCTGAAGAACCCTTTCACAATACAAAGACTTCTTTAATTGTGATTCTTCAAGAGTTCTTTAGTTAAGAAAACTGTTCTACATAGAACCATAAACAAAGAACCCTTTGTGTGATTAAAGACTTCTTTGCATTGTTAAAGGTTCTTCAGATTGATGGAGAATGTGCATGAATGTGCTATAGATGGTTCTATATATAACCATGAACAATCAAAGAACCCTTTTTATAATTGAAGTGTTCTTTGCATCATTAAAGGGTTCTTCAGATTGATGGAGAATGTGTGGCAGATCTATAAAGAACCTTTTTGAAAAGGGTTCTAAATAGCACCCAAAAATGTTCTTCTACTGTGGTGATGTCAAGCTTGTGACAACAGAAGAACCCTTTTCAGAAAGGTTCTATATAGAACCATAAACACTCAAAGAACCCTTTGTATAATTGAAGCGTTCTTTGCATCATTAAAGGGTTCTTTAGATTGATGCAGAATGTGCATGAATGTGCTATAGATAGTTTTATATAGAACCTTTTTAAAAAGGGTTCTATAAAGCACCCAAACAGTGTCTTCTATTGTTACAACACACTTAAAAAGGATGGTTCTTCAAGAGTTCTTCAGTAAAGAAAATGGTTCTGTACAGAACCATAAACACTCCCTTTGTATAACTGAAGCGTTCTTTGAATGAATAAAGGGTTCTTTAGGCTGATGGAGAATGTGTTGTATATGGGTCTACATAAAACCTTTTTCAAAGTGGTTCTATACAGCACAAAAAAGGGTTCTATTGTTATGATGTCAAGCTTGTAATAATTGAAGAACCTTAGACAAACGTTTAATATAGAACCTTATAAAGCACAGCAGTCTCCATCAATCACCATCCATGATGCAAAGACCCTTTAATCATGCAGGTTATTTGAGTGTTCAAGGTTCTATATAGAACCATTTTCCTTACTAAAGAACCCTTGAAGAACCATCTTTTGTGAGGGTGTAGTGTAATGATAAGGGTACATTGGTGGCTGCTTTTGCTTTGGCTAATGAAACTAATCAGTTCCAAACATTTCCACTAGGTGGAGCTGTTTAACCGCACTGACTACACTTAGTGAACCTGGTGCTGCTGAAACAGCGCCTGCATGTTCTACAGCTTCACTGTATTAGTCAGTCATTAAAGGGAAGATCCACCAAATTTTAGATTTCTGCATAATTTAATCACTGAGATGTAAACAAAGTCAGTCACAGTGGTTTGATGTGAAACGGTTCACTGTAGAGAAACTTCAGTGTCAGATTTCTTTACAGTGGTGGGTGATGGTGATAGGAACCAGGGGCTTATTTACTATCTAGAACCACCAGTGAACTTCCATGTGCTGTCGGTACAAAACCTTGTATCTCCATTTTTGTTTTTTGGGATAATTTGAAAATGCCTGTTGTCTTTTATATTGTGTGCACATTTCCTGATGTTTGGGGACGGCCCCTTCCTGTTCCAACAGGACTGCCCACCAGTGCACAAAGCAAGGTCCATAAAGACATGGATGAGCGAGTTTGGTGTGGAAGAACTTGACTGGCCTGCACAGAGTCCTGACCTCAACCCGATAGAACCTTTGGGATGAATTAGAGGGGAGACTGTGAGCCGGGCCTTCTGGCCCAACATCAGTGTCTGACCTCACAAATGCGCTTCAGGAAGAATGGTCAAAAATTCCCATAAACACTCCTAACCCTTGTGGAAAGCCTTCCCAGAAGAGTTGAAGCTGTTATAGCTGCAAAGGGTGGGCCGACATCATATTAAACCCTGTGGATTAAGAATGGGACCTCACTGAATTTCATATGCGTGTGAAGGCAGACGAGCGAATAGTTTTGGAAATATAGCATGTGTGTGTATATATATATATATGCACAAAACCCCAAAAAAGTTGGGACACTGTGCAAAATGTAAATAAAAACAAAATGCAATTATGTCCAAATCATTTAAACCCTGTATTTCATTGAAAATGCTTCAAAGACAACAAGTTGTGTAATGATAAAAAAAAACACCTGGTGGTTGATTGGCAACAGGTCAGTAACATGATTGGGTATAAAGAGCATCTCAGAGAGGCTGAGTCTTTCAGAAGTAAAGATGAGGAGGGGTTCACCACTCTGTGAAAGACTGCACGAACAAATAGAGCAACAATTCAATAATGGCGTTTATAAACGTAAAATAGCAAAGAACCTTTGCTTTTCATCATCTACGGTACAGAATATCATCAAAAGACTTTTTTGGAATGTGTTGTTACATGAAATTCTATTCTGAAATATTTTTACACCGTGGCTTTTTTTATTATAACCGCGTTTTACATCCTAAACTGCAAATTAGATATCATGGTTCAGTAAAACTGTCACCCACAGTCAAAATTTGAAGTAGAAAACAAACAAACAAAAAAACAAAAAAAACAAACATGATCCTATCTGAGCTTGATCACCTTACATACTAGCATGTTTGTATTATTGAGTGGTTTGAGCTAAAGCACAATTCAGATGTTATTCAGTCAGTGTGGGACAACAAAGAGATCTTATCTAGCTTTGATCTGAGAGACAGCAGATCTGCACTCTCTCAGATGCAACTCATGGCTGAACGACAAACACAGTCAACAAATTATAAGAGCATGACCACATCGGTAACCCAACAGGAAATTCAGCTTTCTAAAGATGAGCAGCGTTAACTTCCTCTGACCAGAGTGCAGATGCTGTTCTACATTTATGTTTGGAGCAACAAGAACAAGCGTCTCACGCTGCTGGCTGAACTGCGCTGCTCAAGGTTCGTACATTTTACTACCAAATTAATCTCTTTTTCCACCAAGTTAGTGATCAGAGTGTAGATCAGTGATCTTTGCTGTAGTTTTCACTCTCTGGCCCTGATTATAAATCAGTCTGTTACAGTTACAGTAAAAAATACAGGACACATAAACTACACTTTGTAGTTTATCAGTTTATCGAAGTACAGAGTAGTGAAAGTTCTGACCTCTGTTCTGATTGGCTGTCTTGCATTGTGCCTCATTTAAAAAAAAAAACAATAGAAGTACTTATAACTTCAGTGTGTATCAGCTTCATACAACCAAACCTCTTTCCTAAACTATCTTTGCTGTGAACAGTCATCTAAAAAGACCAGGAATTTTTCATTGTTTTTTTTTTTTTTAAAACCCAGTTTTAGGCTATGTTCACACAGCAGGTAATGTGGCCCAAAAAGCTTTGTATCTGTTATCTCTGCTACAGATGAATGAATCAGCCATTTATTTTAAACTGTATCCTCACAATACAGAGCATTTTTACAACTTTTGAAAGCATGTAGTATTGAAACTCTGCTTTGCCTTTGTTTGCTCTCTTTTAGGCAGATCTTGTGTGATCATATTGTTTGATTTGACAAGTTTACGTTCACTAAACTTCCATGCAGAGATGGGCGATATGGCAAAAACAGAATATTGCGATATGTTTTCTTGATACAATTTCTCACAATGTGCAACGATATATATGTGTATATCTGACATCCGATAGGTTGGAAGAGACAAAATAGTGCCACATTAAAAATACTAATAAAAACTATAAATACAACGCATACTGTTCTGTACTCAACCCAAATTAAACAGAACTAATGAGGCTCTCTTTGTTCACACATGCAGTTGGGAAGTGTTGTTGAGTTCTGACGATACCCACGATATGCTCACCAAAGCATACTGTGACACATTTTCATGTAATTTATCACGATAACGATAAATATTGTCAGATTGCCCAGCCATACTGAGAATTTAATGATCTGTAAACTCATTTTTGGTGACATTTCATATCTTAAATAAATAGGCTTTATGTTGTGCTGCCATACTTTGTCATGAATACCAGGGGTAGAACAGTACAATCAGCCCGCGATTTGGTATTCTCACGATAATTTCAACAAAAATCATATTATGAAGAAGGATGAGTTCAATGAATGCTGTTTCAGCTTCCTAATGACACTTGCCAGGAGCTGGCAGGTGTTAAGTGGTGCTGACTGAGAACTTTGGTGTGCAAATATTGACATCCATTCTCCGCACTGTCACAGCTTTGCATTATGATATCACAATGCATTATATCCCTATGAAATAGTACATATAATAAAAACACTGGAGATCTTAGTTCACTGGAGACAATAAAGTAGCACAAAGCTTCTTCAATATTCAGTAATGACATACAATAATTCAGAATTCATAAGGTTGGGCTATCATCGTACTGGACGCTCTCTAGAAGTTACCCAAGATTATCTTCTTACTACAATAACCCTCAATGTTTAGAGCACATCACTGCTGTCGGATCAAAACCTTGTGTCTCCAAAATGGTAACTTTACAGGAGAAGGAAAAAACACTTTACTTTTATTGTGAGTCAATGGAACCAGACTTTTTGGATCATTTCTTTTAGTCCATTCATCATGAAATTTGCAGACAATGTAAAGGAAAACAGGCATTTTCAAATAATGTCAAAAACTGAAAAACTGAAAAATGGAGATATGAGGTTTTCTTTCAACAGCAGAGATATATTTATGGCCTCTTCCTGAACTTCAGCACCTTCTTTTTCTTTAAAGAACGCAGCCACAACAAACAGTTTTCTCTTCAATCGACATTTCCTCTGTTGTGTGCAGGAAATCAGCCACAAAACACACGCAGGTCACACGCAAAAGCACACTAAGCTTTATTCTGAAATGATCAGCGATGCAGTCTGTACATCTTCAGATCAAGCATTTGTTCCATTTCGCTCAGTTTGTTCATCATTTTATTTAGTGCAAAGCTAAAGGCCAGAGCGCACCAAGCGGACAGACACCAACAAACAGCACGAGGACTGTTTGTTTGGTGTGCCATCCCTGAGTGCTGGGAGAATCCAGAATGTTCTCTCTTCTTTCATTCTGGTTCATCAATTCTTTTTATAGACAAAGTAAAGTCGTCTGCAAACATTACACTGTCTGTTCTGTGTGCTCTGGCCTTTAAGAAAGAATGGTCACAAATACAGACGCACAGCGAGTTCTTTGGTTTGGATCAAAACATACAGTCCTCAAATGGCAAACATGTCCAGCCTTAGTTACTGTCAACTATAACAAAAATTCTGCTGAGACTGGAGAAAAACTGTGTGTACAGTCTAGTTTTGCATGAAGAAGATCCATTATATCTTGTTAAGATTGTAACCTTCTAGTAGAGAATGTGAATCCAATGCAAGTTTAATTTCTACACAAGTATGTAATCTCGCTGTTACATTTGATGATGTATAGCAAAAATGAACATAGTAACTGCAGGTTACTGAGGGTTAATTTGCCATATAAAATTTCTAGCCCACATTTTAGAAAAGAGGTATAAGCTCTTCAGAACACGGCTCTCGTGTGCTGGTAGGTGGAACTGAAAGATGAATACAGAGTAGCTTGAGATAAAGACGAACTACTGAACAGGTTAGTCTGAATGAGTCGCTTAGATACAAGATAAAGAGGCATTTACAGTCATGCCCACATTTACTGATGCCCCTGAAAAGAGCACGGAGATGCGATTACACTGTACTGCACTACTTCAGTTACACTGCAGACCTCACAGCTAAAAGACAGCCATGTTTTACTTTGTGAGATGTTGAGTTTGGGCTCTAAATGTCCATCGCAGCTTCATTAAACATTAAGGAAAGTGGTTTAGAGATGTTATCCTTATTATGAAAGGTTACCTCAGATACTTTCAAGCAGAGTCAGTCATTTTTCCTTCATTTGCATAGCAAAGCTTTGATTCTTCACTGTATAAGGTTACATAATATATAATGTAGTATAATATACATTTTCCTAAATTTCGAGAGACTTCGTCTCGGAGCGTTTTTGAATTTTCAGAGAAATATGAGCGACTGGGTTTTCATCGTTTTTGTTTTTTAAATACCTCAAAAATGTGCACACACAGATCACCATGCCTAAAAGCGTTCTAGCACTAGAACATATCGTCAACTAGACAGTAGAACAAAATAAGACAGTCTCCAAAATAGTAACTTTATAGGAGAAGGCAAAAACGTTCCTAACTTTTAATGTAATTTAATGTAAAAATGATTTTATTTGAAGCCATTTTGGAGCATTTCTACTGGTCCAATCATCATGAAATTTTCACATGATATAAAGGGAAGCTGCCAGGTTCAAATGACATAATAATAAAAAATAATAAAAATAAGAATATACAATACACATGTACAATATTTCTGACATGTAACTGAACACATCTGAAATAAAAAAAAAACTTCATTACATTATATTCAAATAAACCAATGATAAAAATCTAAAAAGTGGCCAAACATTGTCTTCATAGGAACACACAGGAACTCTTTTACACATAAAGAATGAGAGGCTTGAATTAGTGATTGCACTGGTTCGATACCACATATTGGCATCAGGCTAATATCTGCAGAAACTGCTGGATTATATATCAGAGCCTTAAGTGCTTGACTGTAGTCCCTCAATTGAAAATAGCTCATTTTTAAAAGTGTAAATACAAAATATCTGATTGGTATCCGTATCAGGCGATACTTGAGGTTTCAATATATAGAGTGCACAAAAATAATACGTCCATTATTGGATTTCTGCAGTTATCAGAATGTAAACTGCAGACTCCAATTTCTTAAACCAGACTAAGGCCGTTATCAGACTTCAAGGAATCTAATATAGAGACTTGGATTTTAGGTAGTAATCAAGTTTTTCAGCACATACACACCCACCAGCCACTTCATTCAGTACACCTCCTTGTTTCTACGCTCATTGTCCATTTTATCAGCTCCACTTACTATATAGGTGCACTTTGTAGTTCTACAGTTACAGACTGTAGTCCATCTGTTTCTCTGATACTTTGTTACCCTGTTCTTCAGTGGTCAGGACCCCCATGGACCCTCACAGAGCAGGCACTATTTGGGTGGTGGGTCATTCTTAGTAGTGTCACTGACGTTGTTGCGGTGGTAATGCTCATGGTCCACTCTGTTAGACACTACCGCTAGGTTAACCAGATAGGAGTGTCTAATGCTCTGTGGTGGTCCTGTGGGGGTCCTGACCATTGAAGAACAGGGTAACAAAGTATGCAGAGAAACAGATGGACTACAGTCTGTAACTGTAGAACTACAGTGCTCCTATATGGTCAGTGGAGCTGATAAAATGATGACCTGATCACTTGGTTTCCAGTCACAATTTTCGCACATCCTAACGGGTCAGAGTGGCAGGTCAGTCAGGAGTACCTGAAATACCAAAATATCTTCAAAGTTGCAACTGAGGAACTGATGATGCGTTCCAGTTTATATGTCCCTTTTGGAATAAACACAAATATATAAATAAATAGTTCAATAACAGTGCAAACAAAGTGTACACAAAAGAGCTCAGTATTGGTTCTTCTAAGCCCTAATGCAGAAATTAAAACCCTTCATTAAAGCTGCTAAGGCTGAGCACAGCGGGGTGGAGACACATTCATAAATCATTGTAAAGCAGATCAGCTGATCTGGGAGCAGCACTGCTTTTAGAACACAGTGGCTATTTGGATTTGGCTAGTTTGGATCGATAAGCGCTTGTAATAAATAAACTGTTTAAGAGTAAGAACGCAACATGTCTGATGTATTAATCATATTCAGGTGTTAAAATATAATTTGTGAGACAAACTAAACAAACATGTAGAAATGTTTGGTTTTGTTAGTTAATGTTCTTTACATATCAAATAAACGCAGCGTAGCCCCAGTGTAGTTTTTGTTCGACCTTATAGGGTTAAAATTTACTGAACTACTGAATTTGCTCTGATAAGGACTTTTCCATCTCGCCAAAATCATCAGTTTTCAGTGTTAAGTTTGAGCTTTATGTCTGTAGTCTTGACTAAATGTCATTCACTGAATAAGACTGCAGGTCTGGTCAACTGCCACCATCTGGTGAAAGGAAGAACTGCAACGTACTGGCTGGCAGAGCACTTATTAAACACCCATTGGGCCCTAAGGCTGGACTTTGGACACCCCTGCTTTACATAAACTCATTCTGCCCATCCAACAACAGTATTTTTAATGTCTTTTTGCTACCTTTCATTATATAATCTCCTTTTTATGCGTTTCATTTTGATTTCTGTTCAGTTTGGAACCAGTACTGCTATCAGCTGGTCTTTAAAAGAAGAATTCCATCGATGTTTTAAAATTCATACATAATTCAGTGTTTAACTTAGTCATTCAAAGTGGTTTGGAATTGTTCATTGTAGAGAAACTTTTTTGTAGGGAAGGTTTCTTTGCCAGGGTAGTGATGTATGTTTACAAATACAAATGTGCCCAATTTATTTACCATCCAGAATGAACAGAGAACAAGCATTTTTTTAATGTAATTTTGGGAAAATGGGGGAAAATTTGAGAAAAAAATAAAACCTTTCAGCATATTCGGAACCTTTTTATATAACAGCTTTTCGTGAGGGAGCTTTTCAGATGTCCGGTTTCCATCAGTGCTCTGAAGAGTTCCTCTAGAATGGCGCAGTTCACACAAAACCTCTTTGAATGACTGAATTATACAGAAATTTTGTAAAACCAGTGGAATTTCCAGCTAAGTTCTAGCTATTATACTCTAATTGGGCAGAACTATCAGTGGTAACTGAAAGAGTTAGCATTGTTTGAAATAGCCAGCATGTTTTCTCATTGGCTGATCAAGATGATCACTGGTGATGATTATAACAGTTTATGAGGCTGTGCTTTTGTTGTTGTCGACTGCTGTTGAATATCTTTAGACAGGGCAGAACTGATGGATTTTAGAAGGTTAGTACAGTAAGCAGACGGCCAAGAATTACATTAAGTCTTACAATTAAATCTAATCTTAAATCTACCTGCCAGATGTAAACATCTGCACGCATTTGGGAGGAGGCTGGTGTTAATTTGCCACCCTGACCATAACCTTCTCGATAACCTGCTCTCATGAAAATATATTTGCATTTCCTTCAGAACTGTACAGCTCCATTTGGTCACTCTCTCCAAATTAGCACTGCTTTTCCGATTACATAATCTAAGATCATCAGTCAGTAAGCCAGCAGAGATGCATTCTGGTTGCATATTTTGTGTATAAACTCACTACTGACTGGATGGCGTCAGTATAATATTATCCCTGAGCGCATCGAGTTCCACACACTCATTGTCTCCCTGTGGATCGATCAATTTCATTATCATTGTCTGTGAAACTAAACTACCTCTTCAAATGGTGCGGATGTGTAACCAACGATAGTAGTTGACCCTGCCTGCGATTCTCCTTCAACAAAAGGACAGTTTCCTCCGAGTCCGTCTGGCTCTTTATTCTAAATAAACAGTTTCCTGCTCAGCCGTTTCTTATACTAATAACAGGCTGGTGCTGATGTGCAGGAGAGACAGGGAGACTGAGCTTTTCTTTATGTGTGAAATTCTACCACCTCCTCACCGCCCCTCATTTAACACAAGGAGGTTCCTTCCTTTTGCAAAGCCTTTGGCCACAATATTGCAACTTTTCCTGGTATTAATGTCACTTTAATGTCATAATTCTGCGATTTTATTATCAAAATATTATGACCTTTTTTCTCACAATATCATGACTTTAATTGTAATATCATACCATACGACTTTTATTCTCAAAATATTATGACATTATTCTCGAAGTCTACTATTTTTATTAGCAGTGGCTCTGTTGCAGATCTTTCTGAGCTGATCTGTGGTTTACTCTAATTCTACGGTAATTTTACTTTTTCAGCGAGACCAATTTTGCTCCAATTTTACTTTTTCAAAATTTGGCAAAGCATTCTGTAGACTTCCTGTTCCTCTTTTAACAGATAGGATTGTACTTCAAACAGTACAGGTTCTCCTGCAAAGCTTATGCGCACAGCAGAGAGCATCCCAGCAGAAATGCAAAGAAAAGTAAAATATGGTCTGGTCTTCTTCTGACGTCGCTGTTTCTTGGGTAACTGTCCGTTGGTGGAACTGGACGATCTGTTAAACACACACAAAAAAAGAACAAGATGCAAAACAGTTTCACAAAACTAGTGAAAGAAACAGTGAATTGGCTCCTATTATAACTGTCAAGTCAGCATGTTTCCCACTTTTTTTCTTACAGGGAAGTTAAGTGAAAGTTATCTGTTTGTGGTGACTGACCACACGATGTAGAAACAGCAGACAGAAAAAAAGGTTAACTCTTGCACAAGAGTCATTCTACAGAAACGTCCATTTCTGTGTCCCTAGCGTTTACAGATATATTACACTTAAAAAAACACGTTAGGGTTACAATTTATTTACATTTTAGAATAAAACAATAAGTCATTTTCACAATTACACCTTCCCGATCCATCAATTTAGCAATATTGGTTTTTAAATCAATTGTCTAGAATTCCAAGCACCACAGAAGAGCTCGTCCTCACAGTCATGTGTGCAGGCTGAGGCCATATTTTGAGGTAAAAAACACGTTTTTCTGCTATTTTAACTGCAATAATTTATACATGACTATGAATGACTATATAATTTAAATGACAAAGAAAACAAAAGCCAAATAAATATTATAAAATATATAATGAAAGTTGTTGTCTCCAGGAGTCGTGTCACTGGTGTTACTGCATAACAAAAAAAATCTCGTATTTTGAAATAAAAGTCACACTGATGACATCACTCGACTTCCTTTTACCTGTGTTCTGAGGATCTATGAAGAAAAGCTCATGGTGAGTCCACTGTGTCTTTCAGTTATCAGAGATTTTCTCATTTAGCTCATGATTTCATATGAAGCTTTTAGCTGAAGTCACTGGTGTGACCGACTTTATTCTGAGGTAATTGTGAAAAAATAGAATACAAATGGATTAAATTACATATTTTAGTGGATATTCCATGATTGACAACATGTGGTTTGATGTTCTGTAGCAGCCGTTCTGTAAAATGCATTGTTCATTAAAAATGTCTCTTGTGTTCCTTTGTTATGTGTAACACCAGTGAGGATCAGTAACACCAGTGACTCCTATGGACAGATAGTAAAGTGGACGTTTCTGTAGAATGAGCCAGAACTTGCTTGTGGGTATCTCTAATGGTCTTTCCAGAGTGAGTTCTTTTGCGACGTGTGTAGCTGGAGTTGCAGAACGTGATCGTTACAGATCATCTGCAGAACGAAACGGGAAATCAGGCGGATGTTTGTTATTTTTTTCTACACGTTTTAATAGCGAGGCGACTCATTTCTTTCAACTCTTGAATTCAGTGAAATTGATGAATACGAGGTGCTTTAGAATAACGTTTTAAAAGACACAGCAAGTTAATTATCAAGCCACATTTGTTTACGTTGTCATGAACCACTGCACTTTGAACATGAACACAAAGGTGTTATGCAGAGATTATGTGGCGGGATGGTTGCCTCAACTGATGCCTATTATCTGAAAACCTCCGCTCAAATTTGTTGATTTTCTAAGTAAAAATAAGTCAACAAAGCACAAACTTAAATATGTAATACTAATTGTGCCATAACTTTTACACAGGCCATATGGCTGTATGGCTGTATGCACTGTGTAAAATATCTGTTAGACTAGTTTTGCAAGTTGTACATTCTGGTCAGATAATTCTTTAAGTTTAGTTTGGTTTTGTTGAATAAATCTTGCATATATTACACCATTTAGCGGACCTTGCGCAATTAATTATTTGGACTACTTCACTCATTTTGATGTGATGTATTGTGATTTACTATTACTTTATAAATACACAAAAACATAGCATGTCTTTAACTTGTTATATTTTGGTTTAACTGTATTTGTAGAACTGTTGCTCCAACTGAGTAGATATAGGTGGGCGATATGGCAAGAAACTAATATTGCGACACTTAAAGAAACTTTCACGATACACTATAGGTCACAGTAGTTTTTTTTCAGACATCTGATCAGTTAGAACAGAGAAAAAAAGAACTAGTAGTGCTGCATTTTCAAAAACTGCGAGTACAGTGATTTTTATTTAATATTTGCCATACCGTGCTGCACTAAATCCAGTTAAACAGGACTTAATTCACTTTTTTTCATAACAAAAAAGCAGCTGGTCAGTGTTTTACAAGTACTGACGATGGATGTTCAGAAAAGCACACTGTATAATGATGTCCTTCATCATAACAACAATATATACAGTCATATTGCCCATCCCTACCACTGAGTCACTGTAAACTAAACTTTAGATTCTCTGGAGAACCACAGTAAAAAAAAATGAAAGCACAAAAAGAGCAGAGAGAGGCTGCTGCTTGTTACACAGCAAAATCACTGACTGGTAGCTGCAGACATGGATAAAAAATTAAATCTACTGAGCCTAGTCGAGTTTTGTTAAACGTTACGCCCAGGTCTACGGCTATGAGCAAGAAGTTCATGTGACTGCTGAGTACTGAAGCAGGCTGATGGTGAGAAAGTATCCAATTTCATGTATTCATTGATATTCATTAACCTTTATTCACATACAGCACTATATTAGTGAGGGAGTAGGGATCCATTAACAGCCATAGTACTGTTGCTTCAACACTTTCACTATTAGGGAGCCACGGAAAATCAAACTAGTGGGATTGTACTAAAAAGACTGGAGTGTTTCTTTAGCACAACCATTTCACCACTGAACACAATCTACTACCTCTGTCAATCATTAACAGCAGCAACGACCTTTCAGACTACAAACCTATGTTTAAAGACAACTCATACGCACCTTTGACAGTCAGCTGCACTTTCGTTTGCGCGCTGGTGGAAGGAAGGAAGCAGGTGTATGTTCCTCCATCAGCCTTCGTCACACTGCTGAGTTTGATGGAGAAGTTTCCTTTTGTCCACTCAGCTGAAAAACCTTCAACTCTGTTTCTGAATGATGCTTCCTGCTCATCAAACGATGCTCTGCTGTTGATGATGTCGTACACAGTGATGGTGTCTTTGAATCTCCAGAACACAGTGATTTCACCCTGCAGGGCCTTATCACTGTTTAAACATGGTAAGGTGATGGTTTCACCTACATAAGCTTGAACGTCCTGCAGAGACACTGAAAGAGAGACACCAAAACATACAAACATGAAATCAAAAGTGTCCAGGCAGAGTCTGGCTTTTAGTTGTGCTGCTTATTTCTTATGAAACCTCAGTGAGGCTCTAGTCCATTAAATATTTGTTTATTGGGGTGTAAAACGTGCTCACCTTTCTGTATGAGCAGCAGGAACACTAAGGGCCAACAGCATCTGAGGGAAAAAGTCAGAAAACAAACAGAAGAGTCTGTGAACACATCTCAAACCCCAACACGTCATAAAAAACTGCCCCTGCCACAGAACATACTGCGGTTCCTGCTATGACACAGCACGCTCAGACCCATCAGATGCAAACAGCTTGCAGAAACAGGTTCTGCATAGGCTGAGGATAATAACCTCATTTTGTGGTAAACATGTCAGCATCTTCTGTATCCTGTTTGGTAGGGCTGGTAGTGATGAAAACACTGTTTATTATTATTTCCTTAGGCAGCATCTGTTAACAGGAGCCAAAGTTTAGCCACTCCTAGTCATGGGATCATATTGTGTTCCTATGCAAAACTAGTTAGGCAGTTTCTCCTGGTTTAAACCGCCCTCAGGCAACGAACACTGACGGGACCATTATTACGCAACTGGTTTCACAACCACGTTACAAAAGGTCAAACTACAGTGAAGGCCCAGCCAAGGCCGCTGAGCAGGGTTGCCACCTCAGCCCTTTAAAACTCCTGGACGCTCAATCAGTGGCTTGATTTCTTATTCAGTTCAGTGGATGGGCAGCATTTCTCACAATGCAGTCTGAGGCAGACAGACTGAATCTCAGTCATCACACTGAGGTCACCAGCAGTGCACCATTCCCAAACAACTGTCCCAGCACTGAGGGCGATCTGAACTAATCAGATTCATTCTTTGTATACAAAATGTTTGGCTGGGAAAAAGGAAGCAGTTCAAACTTCACAACATATGAAAATAACTGGGACAAGCAAGCAAAAACCTGGATAATCCAGGGAACTCGGACAGGTGGCAGACCTACTTAAAGCTGTTATTTAACTACATATAACGGGGTGGGGAACTGAGAAATGGAGTCCAGCACAGTTTGGTGAACATTCCAGCTAAACCTGGCTTCATCTGAGGAGTTTAATGATTTAAGCAGAAAAGTCACCAAACTGCAGGAATCCGGCCCTCCAGGACTGGAGTTCCCCCCGAAATATAATGCTAAGGTTGAGGAGTCCAGCTGGTCATGGTTGTGGTGGATATACAAAGGAAAAACACTTCAGTTGCCCAAAATGGATATTAAATATATTTGAAACAATCTCGAGTTACGTGAACCTGATTTTCAGGGGTCAGTAGATGGCCTTGTTCGGGCTGCTGTAAATAAACAGCTATTTTGGTAGCTAACTAGGTTTGCTAGCTAGCTAAGTTAGTATCTAATTTAGGGAAGTTTCTCAGACTAGCCAGCTAACCGCCACAACACATTTTAAAGGACGTGACCAACAGATTGGCTATTTGTGAAGGAAATAATATGTATAATATGGCGTTAAATGTAAATCCTGGTTTGTTTCATTATAGTTAGCTAAAATTGTGGTTCTGTTAGCTCCGTTAGCTCCGCTGAGGGGAATTCACAAAACAAGGCCTGATAAATACAGATAAACCTATCTCACACGAGAACCTTGTTCTTTTACCTCATACATGGTGCTTACCTCATTTTCTCCATGCCATATGTGTAAATTTAAACATCTTATAATGTATAAAACAAAAATCACGTGGTCGCCAAATACTTATTCTCTCAAACTGTTAAATGGCGCATGCGCAAAATACGTCACGGAAAGCCGGATACAGAAAAATGAGATAAATTCAAATAAAAATCTCAAAAGAATCATTTTTTTGTCTTTTTCTGTGATTAATAAATTGTGTCATTTATTATGTTTTCCTTCTTCTTCCAGAGCTGCTCCTGGCTGCCTATTGTGGGTGATGGACCACTCTCATCCTAGCAGTGACCCTGACGTGTTTAAACCCAGAGGAACCCTGCTGTTCTACACTTGGTCCAGCACCACAGAACTTGCCCTGATCATGATCATGAACAGTGTGTGGTCAGTTGCTGTCCTGTTATATTTAAGTTTTACACTCATTTAACACACCTGTATCCCAAACTGTGCAGTGGGAGATGCGCTACAGTCTGTAACTGTAACGTTGGTGGACCTAAAAGGTAGATGGAGCTCATAGTGGACAGGGAGGAAATACAAAGTAAAAGTCTCTAATAAAGTGGGCGGTCAGTGTATGACGCGTATAGAATAGCAGGATGGAGAACGCCTTTGCTCAAGAACCATCACCTAAAGGACGTATTGAGTATTAATGTCTCCTGGGCTGAACTAATGCGGACAGACAGACGGTCATGTAGCACAAAGACTGTGGAAATGTGAGTGTTCTCGTTAGTCTCAACTAGTCTCAGTACTTTTGGCCCAAACACAACCTGAAGAACGTCATCTCCACTGGACAGCAGTGTGGCAGGAGGGAGGCAAAAGTTCCCTGCTTTTAATACACCAGCTAAACCTGGCAAATAAGAGCTGAATTGAATCAGGTGTGTTTGAGCAGGAAAATCACCAAACTGTGCAGAAATCTGTCCCTCCAGGACCAGAGATCCCAGTCAAATAGTACTATTATTAAGTAAGAACTTGGAAGTTTCTTATTTTAACTCATTATTTATTTTAAAGTGAGTTTCTTGGTAATAGCAGGAGGTCAAACACATTAAATATCTCCAATGATTTAATGAAAATCTCCATTCCAGTCAACGGCTGACCTGAGCTTAACAGTGAACTTGACCTTCCAGACTCAGCATAACCACAAATGTGGAACCAAAATTGCCCAACAGGCCTTTTTAAACTTCCGTAAAGAATCAGTGTGCTCATACTGTCTTTCTATTGTTTAAAAGGGAAGTTTTCCAAATTTCCATACAGTTAAAATGGTTAGGATGTAAACAGGGTCATTCAGAATAGTCTGGTGTGAAGTGCTCTGTTATAGAGAAACAGAGTCCGAATAATTCACAGTGGTGGTGATAGGAACCAGACGTCTGAAGATTAGGCTGCTTTTACACATGCAACCTTATTTGCTTGAAACTTACGTGAAACTATCCTACAACTTACTTGAAACTCAGCCGCAACATTGCGTCTCAACTTCATGAAGCAGCCCATCAAAATGTTGATAAGGCATCATGTGATCATGTCAAACAACATCGTTTCAAATGATTGATTCCACTGGGTCAGTGGTAGGGCTGGGAATCTCTAGGCACCTCACGATTCGATTCGATTATGGTTCAGAGGCTGCAATGCAATTATAAAATGATTATCGATGCATCTTGTTTTTTCTATGCAGGATTTCTTTTTTCTCACTGTGTGAGGACTTTTAAAGCATAGTATCTGTAATGATCCATAATGAAATTACTTCCAATATCTTTTTTTCATTTTTGCCAGATCAGTATTAATGTTGTTTTGTTCCAGCCAGTCTGTAAAGCATCTTACAGCTCATTTAGTTTGGCGAATGGTGTTGGGTTCATTTCTGGCTGATTCCAGGTTGTTTAGCTGTTCTTCTGTCACAGCTGCTGAATGAAAAGCTGCTCAGTGGTGATGACAGTTTGAGAATTTAGTGTGAGGAGCTGGAGAACAAACTGCCGGCTGTGCAGCGAGTGGGCGGAGCTCGTTACTCTGACGTAGCAACAAGCTGCTCGTTAAGGAACTATAATTTGGTGAAGGAACTGCGAACATTAAAACATATTAAACGCCGCGTTCACGGCCCAGTTTATTAATTTATTACTGTATTTATTTAACTGTTGTATAAAAGTAATAAGTCACTTCAGGTTGTGTGTGAATTAGCATAGCTGAAAAGGACTTAAACAGTGGTGAGCAAAAGTTTGGGCGCCCCTGGTCAAATAACATTTAGTTGATTTTCTACAGAGAACACACTGCTATATATTTTAATACACAGCCACTGCTTATGCCTTTTTTGGGGAGCGGTGCATTTTATGACACATTTTACATTTTGTGTTTTTATTTTTCTTTTCCAAAATGTCAATTCAAGCAAATAAACAGTAATTGTGCGTTAACATATGCAGAAGTGTGTTCTCTGTAGAAGACTGAGGGTGCCCAAACTTTTGTAGTGCATATACATTGAACTTAACCCTCTGTGAGCAACAGCTGTCATGGAAAGTGGGAAAGTTGGAAAGTTCTGGAAAATGATTTCCTAGAAAGGAACCCTGCAGTTTTATTAGACATGTCAAGAAACGCAGCAGTGAACAACTCTGACGAGCGCAAGACAAGAGAGCAGCACAATATCCCACAATTCTTCAACTTAATAAAGTTTTGTAAGTTTGATGGAAACGTTTCCTTTTTCCTTTCCCCATCTAGAAGACTTTCAGCTCTGTGTCTGAATGAGGCTTCCATGGCACACTTAGGTCCTCCGGGTGCAAAGGGCTTGTAGAAACATGATCTGCATCGACTGATGACTGATGATAATCTCATTTTGTGCATATAGCGGAAAACATACCAACATCTTCTGGCAGGGTGGATGTTGTCTGGGGGAAAAGTCATAATAAACCTGTTTATTGCAACCCCATTTCCAAAAAAGTTGGGACGCTGTGCAAAATGTAAGTGAAAATAAAATGCAATGATGTGCAAATCATGTAAACCTTATATTTATTTAAAAATAGTACAAAGACAACATATCAAATGTTGAAACTGAGAAATGTTATTATTATTTTTAAAATTTTTGCCCATTTTGAATTTGATAGCAGCAACACGTTCCAAAAAAGTTGGGGCTGGTAAAGTTGTGTAATGCTAAAAAAAACACCTGGTGGTTAATTGGCAACAGGTCAGTAACATCACTGGGTCGAAAAAGAGCATCTATCATCTACGGTACATAATAACATTAAAAGATTCAGAGAATCTGGAGAAATCTCTGTATGCAGGGGACAAGGCCAAATACTAATATTGGCAGGCTGTGACCTTTGGGTCCTCAGGCGGCACTGCATTAAAAACAGAGATGATTCTGTGGAAGAAATTACTGCATGGGCTCAGAAACACTTCTATAAAACCACTGTATGTGAAAACAGTTTGTTGCAACCACAAGTGCAGGTTAAAACTCTAAAACGCAAAGAAGAAACCATATATAAACAGGAACCAGAAACACTGACACCTTCTCTGGGCCTGAGCTCATTTAAAACAGACTGAGGTGAAGTAGAAAAGTGTCCTGTGGTCTGACGAATCAACATTTGAAATCCTTTTTGGAAATCATGAGCGCTGTGTCCTCTGGGCTAAAGACCACTCAGCTTGTTATCAGTGCACAGTTCAAAAGCCAGTATTCATGATGGTATAGGGGAGCATTAGTGCACATGGTATGGGTGACTGGCATATCTGTGAAGACACCATTAATGCTGAACGATATATACATGTTTTGGCAACATATGCTGCCATCCAGACGACGTCTTTTTCAGGGAAAGCCTTGATTATTTCAGCAAGACAATGTCAAACCACATTCTGCATGTATTACAACAGTGTTGCTCCATATTAAAAGAGTCCAGGTGCTAAATTGACCTTCCTGCAGTCCAGACCGGTCACCACTGTAAACATGTAGTGCATTATGAAATGAAAAATATGACAAATGAGCGCCTGAACTGTTGAGCAGCTGAAATCCTGTATCAACAAGAACAGGAAAACATTTCACTTAAAAACTACAGCAGTGTCTCCTCAGTTCCCAAACACATAGAGTGTTACAGAAAAAGCACCATAAAATGTGGTCTGTGCAAAAGTTATGGCACATTTTATATTTTATGTTTTATTGTTTCCAATATGTTAAACTCAGCAAATGAATAGAAATTTTGCACAGAAATGTGCAGAAAAATGCCATATTAAAGGGGGCGGGTGAGTGAGTGAATGAGTGGTTGGGTGGGTTGGTGAAATGTCGCGTTAATCCACATAAAACACTGGATGCCTGTCTTGTAGCTCCAACTTGCTGCTCCCAAAAATATCCAGCCAAGAGAAGTTCTGTGGTCAGAAAGTGACCACTGATGAAGAGCTAGAGATTAGAGCCACAGCTTGAAGATGACATCAGAACAGTTTTGAACGAACATCATGTTAAAGTCATGTATGGATTATTCTACTGAATTAGTTCAGAGGTGAAAACACATTTTGGACTTTTAACTGACTTTTAAAATCCTTCTGCTTTGAGTGACCCTCTACATTCATTGTGTTTATTTTATTGAAACAAATGACTGAACATTCCTTTTGTCACTACCAAAACAAAAGCTTTACCAAATGTTTCAGTACTGACTGTTACAGAAGAGACAATATTAGCTCATTTTGAATGGAACTCAAATACGCTAACTAGTGCATGACCAGCAGACGCAGATTTGAACAGTTTTTTATTGACACACAAAAAGTTTACTTAATTACAGAAAATGTGTGTTTCGGAAGGGACAGTTCTTAAAGCTTTTGTGGGCATGGTTACAAGTGTTTCATTTTTTTTTAATGCATTTTTAGATGTTTGTCAGTGTTATATTCAAGAAAAAAAGTAAATAGTGTGGAGTTGCAGTTGGAGTCTCACTGGTGAGACATACAGAAAAAAAACGCCAACAGAAGTGTAGAAAAAAGCAGAAGGTTGTCTGGTCTCATTTGAACCTTCTTGCTCTTCGTCTCAGATGGAACTTCAGGAGGTCTCAGTGTCTCTGTGGAACACAAACACAAATAAGTCTTCATTCCGTGAGAGAGGACAAGGGGGGGTTACCCTTCCTAAAATGTTCGTCAGCTCATTTTAATTATGGAATATTTACATTGGCCAAAACTTACTATGTATACAGAGTGATCTCCATGACACTAGGGGGCGGCAGAGTACTGATACCAATCAACAGACTGGCTGTACTTAGTCATATAGTAAAGGTGCATTGGTCAGTGATTGGAAATAGCTAAATGACACTATACACTTGATGACTACTACAGTTTGAACAGAAAAGTGTCAAGGAGGCACCAGTGACCAGCCTTACAAGCCTTTCTGCTGCAGTCTCAACCCCAGCCAATCAGCAATTTTGAAGAGATTACCCATATTTCAACTTCTATGCTGCAGTCATCAAAACAAGATCCAATTTATGGCATTAAAAATGATGTGAACTGTATTGAGAGGAGGCAGTGCGGTGGCACAGTTGCCTCACAGTAAGTAGGGTCTGGGTTCGATTCCCCAGCCGGGTAACCAGGGTCCTTTCTGTGTGGAGTTGTGTCTGCATGGGTTTCCTTCCACAGTCCAGAGACATGCAGTCAGGCTAGTTGGACACGCTAAATTGCCCCTCATGTGAGTGTGTGTTAATGTATGTGTCTATATGTCTGCCCTGTGATGGACTGGTGGCCTGTCCAGGGTGTTTCCTGCCTTCCGCCCGAAGACAGCTGGGATAGAACACACAGGAGAGACGCATATATATACAAAATACAGCTCACCCAACGAGTGAGATCATCATGAGCCTCTTATCTCTTCTCTATGGTAGATGCTGAACCCTATGGAAATCCGAAGAGGCCATGAGTTGTTGCTATAACTTTCTGGATTGATATCTTGAGATAACAAGATAATTAACTACTTATGACAAAATAACAATCCAAAAATTATTTATATCTACCTCATGGCCTCTTTGGATTTCAGTAGAACCCACCTACATTGTATATGTAGGGCGCACTTAGTTAGACAATGCACTGTCAATTTTGTTATCTTGAGATGACAAGATAATTAGCTCATTATCTCAAAATAACAATCCAAAAATTTTTTATAACTACCTCATGCCCTCTCTGGACTTCAATAGAACCCACCTAGGTTGTATATGTGGGGCGCACTTAGTTAGACAATACATTGTCAATTTTGTTATCTTGAGATAACAAGATAATTAACTCGTTATCTCAAAATAACAATCCAAAAAATTATAACTACTTAATGGTCTCTCTGGACTTCAGTAGAATCCACCTAGGTTGTATATGTAGGGCGCACTTAGTTAGAGAGTACACTGTCATCCACTGGGGGGGCGCTAGCTTGCCTCCAGTTACTCTGGGGAAGCATAAAAACCTCATGAGGCAGAGAGTCAGCGTGACATGAAGTGTTTTTGGCGCCAAAGTTGAAAGTGAAAGCTGACCACCGTTCTCTGCTGGGTCGTTGTTTAGTGGGGAATTTCTCAGCATCCCACTTTTAAACTTCTGAACGGAACCGACGGGCTTGTGCTCTCCGTCCTGGAGGGACTGCGCTTGGGCTGGTCTGGAGTGGTGGAGGTGAGCTGGTTTTACCCCAGTAACACAGTCACTTTAGCTTTGTACATACTGATAAACATGTCACCTGCACGTGCTTGTGTTTGTGGTTTCGATTGAGTATAAAGTTAAAGAACCTTAGACTAGAACAATAATCAGTCCTTAAACCCTTAACAGCCAGCACAGAAGGAGTGTGATGCACGCAGGACGCCACAGCTAATTCATCTGAACGTTTGAATGGGGCCTTGTGGGGAATAGAAAGAGAAACTGCTGAGGGGGTTCAAAGCTACATGAAGATGGCTACAGCTCTTCTGAGTTAGGGAAGCTTTCAGGGCTTTTAGGTTTGTTGCATAAGCTGGTTTAATGTGCAGTTCAGTTTTATTTGGTCTCCATGTAAGTGTGGCTGGTGTTTGTACGCTGCTTTGGTTAGCTATGATATTTTTGACTGTATTGTAATGCTAATGCTGAAAAAAGCAACAGTCGTGTAGCGTGTTGATAGATGTTAAAGGGGAAGTCCACCGATTTAAAAAGAAAATCTACATAATTAAGTGGTTAAGATGTAAACAGAGTCATTCAGAGTGGTTTGGTGTGAAACGCTTCGTTCTAGAGAAACTTAGAGTCAGAGCTGTTCACAGTGGTGGTGATAGGAACCAGACGTCCACCTCTAAAAGCTCCCTCACATAGTTATTAGTTATTACATGAGGTGGTTAGATATGTGCTGTCTGATGCCTGAGACAGTGAGTGCATTTACTTAATAATCCGAGAACTGCAGAAAATACGTTTACATGTACTTGAGTAATCAGATAATGGGAAAACGCCACGTTTACGAGTCAGACAGTAATCGGATACTTTGCAACCAGCCAATGAACTCACAGAAGAAGACATGATGTAAACATAAAACTTCATGCTGCAGCTTTTTTTTTAAACATCGTGCCATTTTACCTGAATATATGTATGAATATGAACATACAGAGAAGAATATTTAAATCCTGTATTTCATGTTTGGTTTCAGTGTCACTCCAAAAGCGTTTTGCTGCATTTCGCAGCGACGCTGCTCACTTATTTCTGGTACCACCATCTGTTTTCGCACATATGCAGACTGAGAAATCCGAAAGAAATCAGAGTAAGAGTTTACGGCACTGAGAGATCTGATTACGGAGCTAAAATCCAGCCTCTTTATCGGAGTTCTTAATCGGATTTTTTATAGAACGGACTATGTTGCTCCTAGCAACCACCTAGCAACACCTCAGCAACTGCCTGGAATTCCACAGCAACTACGTATTAACACTGTAGCAACCATATAAAATACCATAGTAACCACCTGGCAACACATTAGCAGCTGTTCTCAAATCGCTTAAGCTGTGCAGTCACTGCATTTTGTTCAGGAAATGCTCTGTTCTATTTACTGCTAAAATATTAATTTGACATGTTAGATTGTTTTGCACATTGGATATTGAGTATGTAACAGCAAATTCCTAATGTACCCTGTCATTAGCACTACTGATTGGTAGGTTAAGGTCGGACGCACCAGTAACAGTCAGATATACTGTCGTTTGAGTGTTGATAGCAGGAATGAAGCACTTGTACGTTCCTCCGTCCGTCTTCTTCACACTGCTGAGTTTGATGGAGAAGTTTCCTCGAGTCCACTCGTCTGGAAAGCTGTCAACTCGGCCTCTGAACGACGCGTCCTGGTCATCCAACAACGCTCTGCTCTCAATGATGTCGTACACGGTGCTGCTGTCTCTGAATCTCCAGAATGCAGTCAGTTTGCCCAGCAGTGCCTTATCACTGTTTGAACATGGTAAGATGACGGCGTCTCCTACGGCAGCTTTAATCTCCTGCAGGGACACTGAGAGACACACCGAAACACACATAAAACCAAAAGTGTCCAGGCACAGTCTGGCTTTTAGTTCTCCATGTGCTGCTTATTTCTTACTGAAACCTCAGTGAAGCTCTAGCCTTTTAAATATTTGTTTATCAGGGTGTAAAATGTGCTCACCTTTCTGAATCAGCAGCAGGAACACTAAGGACAAACAGCATCTGAGGGAAAAGTCAGAAAATAAACAGAATTTTTTTTGTTGTGCCACAGAAGCCAGCAGAAATACACTGACCCTGCCACTAACATACTGCTGTACCTGCTACGCCATGATAATCTCGTTTTGTGCATATCGTGGAAAATGTACACTAACATCTTCTGGATGTGGTTTAAGGTTGGGGGGTTGGGGGTGACGGTAAACCTGTTTACTACATGAAGGCCTTAACGCCGGGCTAAGATAGCAAACAAGTATTAGCCAGTCTTCATATACAATGTTAAACACTACAGGGGTCATTTATGGATAGTAAACACATCTTAAACACTCTCTAGTGACGTGAACCTGATTTTCAGGTGTCAGTAGATGGTCTTGTTCGGGCTGCTGCAGATAAACAGCAACGTTTATCACAAAGTTAGCTAATGCTACGGAACTGATGAGCTACATTTGAGATGGCGCGACCAGCTAAGAAAACAGAGAATAATGTGGCCTGAAAGGTAAATCCTGGTTTGCTATGTTTCGTTGTAGCTAGCTGGCTAAAGGTTTTTGTGAGTTCTAGTTAGCTCCGTTAGCTTCACCGAGGGGAAACCCTCAAGTAGCACAGCGGTAGGTCTTTAACCACAAAGTGGGTCATGATTCTTTTTTCTTTTACCTCATACATGATTCTTACCTCATATTGTCTGCCGAATGTGGGTTTAAACAGCCCGAGAGGAGTAAAAGCACCAAAGCTGGCTGCTTAAACCGAACCGGTAGTTTGGTTACACACGCATACGGAACTACTTCACGTAAAGTACGTAAAAATAATCAGATAAATTCAGAGACAAGGCTTTTTTTTATAGTAATAATAATAATAATAATGATAAGAAGAAGAAGAAGAAGAAGAATGAAATAAAAAATAATTATATATCACTTATTAGATTTTCTTTTTTTTTTCCAGAACTGCTGCAGGCGGCCTATTTTGGGTGATGGAAAACTCTCGGTGACACCACTCTACGATAAACTTGTATCAGCACCACAGAACATGCCCTGATTACCCAAATGGCAGGTGTTATATTTAATATTTTTAATACATTTGCGTCATACACTGGGCAGCCATTTTTAGGGACTTTTATTTTGCATTTCCACTCTCTTAGCTTTCTAATAGCTATATAGTTTAATTAATGGGATTATTGTTGTATTTATTTATAATTTAGAATTGTGCTACTCATTTAGAGTTTTTAGTGTTTTCAAAATTCGATTTTGGCTAAATGGCTCTGAATCTGCTATGTGTGACATGAAACAATGACTTATTTGAATTGAGCCTTAATGTCACTCTGTAATAAACATGCATATTCTGTGATCTGTTGTTGTGTATTTATTGTACTGTAAAGTTTGGATTACGCTGCACCGCCTTCCTTAGTCCATTTATGTCCATGTCTGAAATGGACTGGTCCATATGTTCTCACACATCTGAAGAAATCTTTCAAATTGATCAAACCGTATGGCTAAAAAGTGAGATTTATCTTTTATCATATTAAAGTCAGTGTTTTGATCACAATGCTGTGCAATGCTTTGGGCACCTCTGGTTAGATTATGTTTTGTTGGTTTTCTAAGAGAAATTAAGTCACAGTGAATGTAAAATGTGGCACGTGCCCACTGTATGTTAACTTTAGTAAATAAATAGTAATTTTAGAGTAGATTTAGCAGAAAATGACATGTTTAATTGTGTTCTTTATAAAAGATGTTACTTTTTTTGGCAAATACAAGTTCAACAAAACATGTAGTTTGATTGAGGTGCCCAAACTTTTGCCTGAGACTGTACAATTAGCTAAATATTACATCTTTTGAACCCTTTAATGTTCTGCTCAACCATTTGGTAGAGCACATTTTGAGTCACTATATAAGCCACAAAGTGCCATCTCAACCGTTTGGTAGACGTGAATGTTTTAAAAATTGTGGGGTCAAGAAATGAAAAAAAAACCCCACCAATTGTTTTTATTATTGCACCAAACAAATAAAAATTACAAAAAATAAAATTCCATTGCTTTTTTTTTTGGTGAGGACATTAAAGGGTTAAAACCAGTTAGAGCAGTAACTGGTCCAGATACAAAAATGATACTGATTAACCCTTAAATGGTCGCCAGGTGGTCCAAAACTTTACTACACACTTTTACAACCAGAGAATAACTCAGCATCTTTGCATTATTACTTAATAATAAGCCTTAATATAATAAACCTGGGATTGTAAGAGGGTTATAACAGCACTCAAAAGGGAGGTGAGAGGGACCTCTGGCGGTGAGGAGGGGACTCTCCAAGACACCAGTAACATTTTTAGTACAGTTTGTATTTTATTATTAGCATCAAAAGTATCAAGAGGTACAAATAACATTCAATGACCAAAAATATACATACATTTATTGCCTAAATACAGAAAATAATTCACCACATTGTATTAAATCCTTTTATTGCGTTGTCTTCAGTGCTTTCTTATTTTTATATTCAGAATGATATTGTTTAAAAACCCTCCAAGAACTGTGCCAAATGAGGTTTAGAGAGACCAATCTAATAATAATGTCTCTAATAACTGTGTAGTTACACATGAATAACATATGCAACAACACTCAGTTCCGAAAGGCAAGGTGATGCTATACCTCACATCATTGTGGTCATAAATGATTTTTGGAAAGATGTGGGGTGTCTGTAATTCCTGCCGTGTACCTTACTGTCCATTTTTGGAAGGAGAAACAATTTGTGTAGAGCAGATCCGTCACACGTCTTTAGCTTGATGGATGGAGAGGATCTCAAGTATCTCCGCTTTAGCGCATTGCTGAAGTATTTCCTGGTCTTCGGACGTCAGTTCTTTGGGTTTCACGGTGCTCGGCTCAGTGGGCAGTGACGAATGAAGGAGCTCGACTGACCCACATGTAGATTCCAGGAGCTCGACCTTTTTCCCTCACATTGCTGAGAAGGTCAAAGATGTGAGCGCCACCGACAGGCTTCACGATGGTGTTCACAACACCTTGATTTACAGGGTTCATCTGCTGTGATTTCACCTCAACCATAATAACATTCATATAGAAATTCAGTGTTTTGTTAGTTCCGTCCTGCATCACTTGTAGTTGCCTAAAGGATGAAAAATGCAGAAAAGCCGTTTTATTGCTAATGTAACAGACAGTAACTGTATATTTACTGGATATATGATTATTAATCTTCCCATCTTTCCTGTGTTCTTGATTCTACATGTTTAGTCCTTAATCTGTTTCTGTCACTGTTTATTTGACTGTGAGGGGGCGTGTCTGCCTGTAAGCCACATCTGATACATCACTGGCTAAAGGTTTCTGCATTAAACATCACCGTGTTTATGAGCGACTGGCACGTTTGTGATTCTATGACTGTATGTTGAGCAGATTTTGGTGCAGATTTATTGTTATCGATGTTCTGTGTCACAAAAACTCTTCTGGAGTTAAAAGTGTCGTGATTTACTAAACAGACGCAGCAGCTCTTTAGAATAAGATCAAAGAGGAGGAGCTGCTGTTTTCTGCCTCTGACTCAATACATCTGCAAGACAGACAGACAGACAGACAAACAGATAAACAGACTGATCTATAGTAAAGAGATAGATAGATAGATAGATAGATAGAGGGATAGATAGATAGACAGACAGACAGACAGATAAACATGTATAGTTAAACAGAAAGACAAACAAATAGAGAAATAAATAGATAGATGTATAGACAGAGAGATAGACATATAGGCAGATAGACAGATGAAGAAACAAAGAGACAGAAAGATAGATTGATGGATACATAGATAGACAGATAAATACATATATAGATAGATAAATAGACAGACAGACAGACCCAAATTGCATATGACTCTGTTTTTGACAGACAGTTTTGATGTAAACAGAAGGTAAAAACCTTTTCTCCTCATGTCAATCATGATTATGAAGGTTTAATTAAGATTTCAGGAAGCAAATTTATTTATTACACGTTTATTTTAAAAGGGCAGTTCAAAGTGCTTTACAAAGTGATGAATAAAAACAAAACAAAAACTGTACAATAAAATAAGGGGGAAACAACAAACTAAAATGAACTGAAAAGAAGCGTAAAGTCTAAACGGAAAGTATGAAAGATGCAGAAGATAAAAAGAAGAGTCTGAGTTTAAAGATTTAAAGACGAATTAGGGGCAAATCTGAGATCTTCTGGCAGCCGATTCCAGCTTCAAGCAGCAGGCGAGCTGGTTTAGAGCCACAGAAGGACTTTTATATTTCATTGGTTTGGCCAAAACTGTTTCTGCTACATGTTGAATACAGTCTATGTAAAGAAACAGAGTTTTAGGATTAACAGGTGAAGGCTGACATCCTGCATTGATTGGGGAATTTAAAATTAAAACAAAATTTCACGCTGGATTAAAGCTTTAATTTGGATCTGTTGGTACACCCAGGTTTCTGACTTAGTCTTTAGATACTGGAGCTCTGAAGTCTGCACTGACCTTCAGTCTTTCCTCCTCATTGCCAAGTAATACAACTTCTGTGTTGATTTATCTGGAGGAAATGTTGACAGATCCTTTAACTCATTTTAAGATCTGTTTCTACAGCACTTTTTACAACAAGTGTCACAAAGCAGGTTCAGAGAAAGTCCAGGTCCGAGCCCCTGATGAGCAAGCCGAGGGCGACGGTGGCAAGGAAAAACTCCCTAAGAGCAAGAGGGAGAAACCTTGAGAGGAACCAAGACTCAAAAGGGGAACCCATCCTCCTCTGGTCAACTGGATTTGCTCTGAGCACTGACACAAAGTATCTATGGGACCACAGTCTTTTGAGAGAGAGTGAAGTAAACCTGGGTGTCGTCAGGAGAACAGTGATAGGTGATTTTGTTTTCTGGCAGGATTCAGCCTAACGGGAGCACGAAGAGAGACTATGAAGAGGTTAATGGAAATGAATAAGTTTAAAGGGGCCCAAGGCAGCTGATTTTCCTAAACCAGCAGAACATCCTGGAACAAATGGACGCTCTCCTAGGCTTCTCCTTTTTTGAAGGAACACTACTGGATCCACCTGCAGAAAGAAGATTTCACATTCAGTGTTTGCATATCAAATAATGGAAATGGCTGTTTTACTAAATATGTAGTGCCTGTTTTAAAGTTATATTGCCATTTATCTCAAACTTCACTAAATCTAAACTACACATGAATTTAATTAACCATGTTAACTTACTCATATCAGCAGTGCAGCGACTCTGCAAATGGTCCTGATCTGATGTATGCCCAGCATTATCGTCCTTTCTGGATTTCTGTGATGTGAGAAATTGATCGTATCATCAAACTTGTAATCATTTAAGTCTCACCACAATTCAAAGTGTTAGTATTAATATTGCATATAACAGCATGTTAATAATATGATGTACATAATGTTACTGGGACAAAATAGCACAACATTAAAACTAATTCTTACCTTTTTGAAGATGCTGAGCTTTGGCATCTTGATATGGAAGATGTTCTTGAGCTTCTTCAAGTTTATGTTCTTCGGCCTCTTTGTTTCGGGCCCTGCAGTTGAAGCATCTGCATCTAGATGCTTCCGTAAGGCAGTCATCAGGGCCTCGTCAAATGCAGAGTCTCGAAGGTCCAAAGCTTTGTGCAGAGAACCTTCCTTACCAAACCTTTGAAGGAGCTCAAGAAACGTACCCGTTAGAATTTCCTCCAGCTTTGCAGCACTAGAGGATGCAGAGAACTCGCTGAGAATTCTCTCAATCAGCTCTTTCGGATCGTTCGAGCTCGCTTCTTTTCTCAGGTCTGATGAAGTTGCTGCTGACTGCGCCAGAGTCCGAAGAACAAGCCAAGTTGCCAGGATGGCATGATCGTTTGTTTGCGACGTAAGCGAGCCTCTGCTTGAGACTTGGCTTGATACGAAAACGTCATCAGTGGTCTGGCTGGAGACCAAAGGTTCCTCTTTGATAGTGGGAGAGGAACCAGACTCAACCGATGCAGGACGGTACAAGTCTTTAGGGTCTGCACTCTTAATTGCCCTGACGATGGAAACAGCCAGAGATCCTGCCAACAGCTCACTCTGGGCTTTTACTGCTTCAATGAGCTGATTTTCAGATCTCATTCTCTGAAGAAGCTCTTCATACACAGCATCAATGATGGAGCGGTGAAGTTTTTTGAGAGCATGCTCTCCATCTTCCACTGTGACAGCAGTGAAAAGAGCTAAAATTCCTTTGACCATGTCGGTAACATTCTGGACCTGGTCCTCATCAATTAAGAGAGGAGATCCATGGACCCCAGTGGATGAAATCTCCTGTACTTTTTGTAATATTGCACGTACGCAACAACGGAGAGCATCCACGG